CCCTCGCGCCCTCCCGTTTTCTGCCTCCCAGGGATCTGTGAGGAAAAAACAGCGGGGCAAAGGGACTAAGCCCGGCCCAGATCCCGCTCGCCTCGCCCCCGCCAAGCAGAGAGGATTCTCCTGTTCTCTTTGAGCACGCAGACCAGCGTCCCTCGGCTTATGCGAGCGACATGGTCTCATTCGGTCTCGTAGAGAACGAGCTATTAGATGACAGCATGTCTCTAATAGCATCAGACGCGGAGGAGATGTCGGGCTCTATTGCTGACCCCGTCCCTTCATCGTCTGCCGAGCTCAGTGACTTTTCTGCATCCTCTCTAAGGCAGTTGAGGAACTGGGATTGGAGTGGTCTACGCTGGAGGAGCCCACACGTAGCCGTCTGGCTAAACCTCACTGAGATTAAGGAGGCTGACAAGGTTCCCTTCCTCGACTCCCCGGTCTCCCCTACGGGGCTGTTTGGACCTGCCGTCGAGGGATTTGCAGAGCGATTCACCGCGGCTCAGAAGACGTCCCAGGCCATGCGACACTTCTTGCCGAAACACTCCAGCTCTGCAACGGCCACCAGTCCCATAAGAGTGAGAGCCTATTCCACTCGAGGCGTGGCCTCTTCCTGGGCGTGGTTTAGTGGTGTGTCCATAGCAGACATCTGTGCGGCGGCTGGCTGGGCCTCGCCGTCCACCTTTGCCAGGTTCTATAACTTGGATGTTCCGGCCTTGCAGGCCCGGATTTTATCTGCTTAAAGTGGCACACGCCTGTCTGGCGGTCTAAGTCTCAGGCTCTGCCTGACTCTTCAGGAACGCTCTTGGCCCTATTACTAGTGCTGAGGCTGTACATACGACCGTTGGATTGATTATCTGAAGGCTGTCCTGACCTCAATGAGTTCAGCCCCCTTGCCTCCTGCAGGGCTCACCCTGCGTATAATTGGTCCCTCTGAGCATTTTTCATGGCTCATGGCCAGTTCATATCAGTCGTTCCTCTCTCATGGCACGGCGGGATTGTATTGGTTCCCCATAAGCGTCTAGCGACACAGTACGAGTGAAGTATCGATAGGAAACGTACTCGGTTACTTTCGTAACCTCGGTTCCCTGAGATACGGGAACGAGTACTACGTTCCTTGCCGTGCCATGACGCTGCATGACTCGGTGTCGTCGCTTCAGTCGAATTGACCTGAGATCCTATGGCGAAATGCCCGCTTTTATAGCCAGATGGCTCCACCCATTCTGGCGGGCTCGGGTGGGCTTCACCACCATAGTCTCGTGCAGCACCGCTGCCGAGCCATTGGTTAGTCTTATAATCACTGCACGAACCAATGGCCGTGCAGTTACACTGCATGACTGAATAAGTCTTCAGTCCTCGGAAAAAAAGGAGTTTTTCCCCATAAGCGTCTAGCGACGCAGTACTCGTTCCCGTATCTCAGGGAACCGAGGTTACGAAAGTAACCAAGTATGTTTTCCAACCACACAAATCCAAAATGGAGTCCAGGGAAAGTTTACATATGGATTTATCAGAGAGCACCAGCCCACGGGGCAAGAACGCCAGTCAGCATTGTGCCGAACAGACAACTTTTAAATTGGCAGAGTCTTTTTCTCTGAGCTTATGAAGCCACTGTAATTGGCATTCACACATGGCGGCAGCAACACCTGTTAGTCTCATCCTGGGTGTTTGAGCTGTCTGAGCAATTCCGGAAAAAAAAGAAAGACAGAAAGAGACAGACATAGACTTTTTTCACCCACCTGGATCAATGAAAGATCCTCCAAATGTAACCTGAAGAGATGATTTCTGAAAGAAAAGACCAAAAAAAAAAATGAATTTCCACCCAAATCAGAACACAAGTTGCCTCAGAGGGTGGGCGGGCATTGCGGTTATAAATGGAGATTTTTATGGGTTGCAACATTTCGAGTGAATCCATGCGCAATAGCAATTGGCCAATGTTGTGAGAGGAATGTTTTGAGCTTTTTCAGAGATAAACAAGACTATAAATAAAACAGAGGATTGGGAACTAAATTGCCAAATTAATTGCTGAATAAATCACATTAACATGCTCCCAATACACATCCGGTTTTAATACAACCTGGCGTAACAGTTCAAGTTCGTTTTTTTTATATGATCTGCACACCTGGATGAAGTCTAACAATGTGTTAGAGCCAGAAACCTCTTATGCAAAGTGTGCAGCCTACTGTCACTTTAATGAGCCAACGCTGGACCTTGCCTAAGGATAAGATGCTTGTTTGGAGCAGCAGAAGCCTGTAAATGCGGCATGCATTTTAATTCTGGGAAACGAAAAACAACTAAAATTGCTCCTCCAAACGTCTTGGACCGAGCATATAATCTAGTGTAGCAATATAGTGTTCTGCCAACTCTAATCTCAAATGTAATTTATATGTGGAACTACAAATCGCATATCCGTCCGACATGATTTTACATCCATCTGTGAATGTCGGAAGCACAAACACATTTGCTAAAACAATATGGTACGTAATCTGAAAGTGGAGCCTGTCTTATTGTATACGAGAGTACATGATAAATCAGGTTGCTGTGATTAAGGTCCACTTACTGAATCGACATGCCTATTGATTGTGTTTCACTGCATTACCGTTAAAGCCTTTTGAGGTTCTCACTATCAATGGTTCCTTTGCACGGACTACTGGGCCATTATTTCTGTAATGACCATGCAGCTACACTATCAGTATTGAGGGATTCGGAACGTACTGAGCTCGTTCTAGGTTATTCATGACTATTTCTTTTTGTAGTTGCATTTGAATGCAGTTCTGTGGGGCGTCAGGCACAACGTTATCTGGTTAAGTGCGTCAGCATCCTTTGAATCGTTGTTCTTTGTTGGTCCTGGAACAATATTCCTATTCAAAAATGAAAGACCCAAATGTAGCCAAAACCAAAGATACCTCTGAAATAAGAGGGAAACTCTTAACTTTAACTCTACAATCTGATTGGTTGATAGAAAGCTTAATGTCAACCCTATAAGATATTTGGGACCATAAAACCAGTTATAAGGGTCAATTTTTTGTTGTTGTTTAACTGAGATTTATACATTTTATAAATGTATTTTATATCTGAAAGCTGAATAAATATGCTTTCCATTGATGTATGGTTTGTTAGGATAGGACAATATTTGCCCGTGATATAGGTTGGCTATTGCTGCAAATATACCTGTGCTACTTATGACTGGTTTTGTGCTCCGGGGTCACATTTATGAGAACAAAAAAAATCAAGCAATGTCAAGGTCACTATAAAAGATAGTTTGCATATTTATGCAGGTCATTTTAATTAAGCGCTTTGAGTACCCAGAAAAGCACTATATAAATGTAACAAATTATAATAAATTAATAATAGCTTGCAACACCAAAAATAATAATAGCCACTGCACAGATGTTTAGGATATGATTATTTTGATTTTCTGTCTGATGAGGGTGATAATTCAACACATGGAGTTAAAAATAAATTTCACCATTATGTCCTCTCAATTCATTCTTAGTAGCTGAATACATTTGCAAATATATATATATATATAATAAATATTTGACAACAAATATGTATTTTTTTTCTATTTCATGGTGTTGACATTGAAAAGGAAAAACAATGGAAAAATAAATTTTGTTAAACAATGAAAGCTGCATAAGGTTACACCAAACATAAATATTTATTATATGTATATTTAATTAATTTTTATTTAAATATTACATTTAATTATTTAAAATATTTAATGATATTTTATGTTTACTTTTTTACATTAAAAAATATACTTTTTAATATCTATCTATCTATCTATCTATCTGTCTGTCTGTCTGTCTGTCTGTCAATCTATCTGTCTATCTATCTCACACTCTCTCACTCTCTCTCTATACATAAAAGGTATAACAACAGTTTTTAAATGTGTATGTGTTTCAGTAGAGGCATGACTCAATATTTCACACTCTAAGTGCCTGTACTTTGACAGGTCTGCTCAGTCTGGTGTTGGTAATTGGCAGAATGTTCCTTGAGCTGCTGAGTAACTTCATGAGAACCCTGTTGTTCAGTGACCTTGATGAAGCAGCAGCTCAGTTGGAGAACCTTGACACAGTCCATTAGGCCAGACTGTGGGTGCGTTTGTGAGGCCTTGGGCCCTGCAAACCCATCTGCTCCAGGGACAACCAGTCGAGCTGAAAGCACCATGGAGTTCCTCCAAGGCAAGACTTTAGTTTTCCTCTTCACAGCTCAATTCGAACAACACTGATCCACAGCCCCTGACTCATCCTATCCACAGTGATGTACATTAACCACAGAAAGATAGCTGACCTGCATAAACAGTGTTGTTTACTGTGATTTTCACCTCTCCATTCTAAAAAAATAGCTAGAAATGACTATCATACAGTTCTCAATAGGGATGATCTAATATGTATTTTTAAGGCAGACAATATATTAGCCGAAATAAAATGCAATTAATTTAAGAGAAATAAAAAATACGCACTGCTATGATAACCAATGTTAATGTTTTTGAGGCAGATAACAAATATATTAGACAAATAAATAAAAAAAATAAAAAAAAATAAAAAAAATACATTTTTAACATTTAATTAAAAAATTTTTTTATCAGTTTTCCACTGCATATGATTATACAAATATTTACAGATATAAATATAAGTACAAATATTTTACATACTAAACTTTCTACATTTTCTTTTAATAAAAATTAAATGGAAAATGAACAAATGTGACCCTGGACCACAAAACCAGTCTTAAGTCGCTGGGGTATATTTGTAGCAATAGCCAAAAATACATTGTATGGGACAAAATTATATTAAGTAAAAGCAAAATATATTAAGTAAAGATCATGTTCCATGAAGGAACATTTCCTACTGTAAATATATTAAAACTTAATTTTTGATTAGTAATATGCATTGCTAAAAACTTCCTTTGGACAACTTTAAAGGCAATTTTCCCAGTATTTAGATTTTTTTTGCACCCTCAGATTCCAGATTTTCAAATAGTTGTATCTCGGGCCAAATATTGTCCTATCATAACAAACCATACATCAATGGAAAGCTTATTTATTCAGCTTTCAGATGATGTATAAATTTCAATTTCGAAAAATTTACCCTTATGACTGATTTTATGGTCCAGGGTCAGGTCCAGGTAACTATATAAAAATATATAAAAATTAAATTAAGTGAAATAAAAAAATACACCCTGATATGATAACCAATGTTAATGGGATGCAGATAACAAATACTGTATATTAGACGAATAAATAAATAAATGCAAAAAAAATTATTATTATATTAATTAAATTATTTTATTTATTTTTTTACATTTTAAAAATTTACTTTTATATATAAAAAAATAACAATTAAAATCAGTTTTCCATTGTATATAATATTCATACAGTGTAATAAAATATTTTACATCCTAAACTTTCTACATTTTCTTTTAATAAAATTAAATGGAAAACAAACAAATAATTATAATTAAAATATATTACATTATAAATATATTAAAAAATATTATGAATTTATTATAAAATATGTACACAATTATTTTATTTGCAATTAGCCAACAGGAAATAATGCATTCCATGATTGTGTGGCTATAATTTATCGCCTTAAATATATTGACCTATTTTACTTAATAATAACATTAAACAGTAAAGTTTGTCAGCTGACACATGATATGTCTGCTGATTTATTGTGCATCCCTAATTCCCATCCTCAATCTAAAGAGCATTACTAGATTCCTTTAGCTCCAGTTGTTTGCATTTGTCTTGTTTGAGAGGTTTGCTGTCTCCAAAACCCAAACCCTAAAGTACAAGACATCTATTGACAGACCGAATCATTAGTTGGAACTGAGTGACTGAGCTTTCTCATTATAGGAAAACAATGAGAACACAATGTCTGGAAAAACTTTCCTACTGTACAAGAGGTCAAAATAATATTTTCAATTGAGCCATTACCACTGATATGCACTTCTTTGTAACACCAGCAGCAAGACATTTTTGATGTTTGGAGAGAACAAAGAATCCCAACCGCAACTCTTTAGCCAAGTCAGACTTGATAATGATGTGTTGCACTTCGGAACAGGTTCTGAGAGCTAACTAACACTTTCCGTCTCGTTACTTTCAAGTAAAAAAAAAACAAAACAATCCACTCATGATACAATGAATCACTAGTGAAGTCAATGGTAATCCCTGCTTCTCCCAGAAAAAGTAATTATTCTACCGCTCCCGGCCCTGTGGGTGAATGAACTGTTACAGTGCCTCATATCAAACCATTTCTGCGGTTGTCACAAAATAATTGCTTGGAGACCATCCAGGCTGCTGACAGATCGGTAATATGAGATTAATTTGGCTGAAGATGTATGGCAGGACAGTGTGAAAGTCTATGTGGAAATCATCACACTCATTAATTAGAGCTGGACACAGGAAATCCTATCCTATTGTCACATTCATGGTGTGATTTTTTATCAAAGTATCTGTTGGTGAGGAGGGTCTATGCTGTGCTTTGTCTGCCACAAAAGTACTCCGGTTTCATTGTGTGGTTTTATGAGGACTCGGATTGTGTGTCACTATTGGGCTAATCATGGGAAACTTGGCAATTGTGACATTTTTGCAGTGGGTGTCAATTTGGTGTTGCTGAAAATATAGTACTATATGAATGTAAGGCTTAGCAGACACACTGTCAGAACCTCTGACAACGACACACTCATTCATATACTGAGACCCATGGACTGAGTCCTAATTAAATTTCATGCAGTGATGGAAGAAGTGAGCATTACCTTGCACCCACGATTAGTTCGTTCTGGCCGGGGTCAAAGGTCAGCTGTGAATAATCGACGGTGCCCTCAGCTCTGAATCGGTGGATCCAAGGCTCGATTTCTGCAGAACAAGAGAGGGCACATGTAAGCGCACATCCCTGACTGACACACACACACAAACACTGTATTTTTTTTAATATTTCTCTTCAGTTTGAGTGCTCCTGAGTGCATTTGTGTTTGTTTCTGTGCGGGTGTATGATATGCATATCAAATGCCCTCGCTGTGGCGCCTTTCATATTAACCTCTGGCCTTGACATCAAAGCTTCAATCTTGGCCTGTCTAACATCTTTTGCCTACCTACCTCTGTGTAATGGGAT